AAAAATAATGTGTTTTTTGAACATTAAATCATGTCAACATATTTTACATATCTTTAAAAAAAGCATCATATGACCCCTTTAATCACAGGGTGTGTGTGTGATTTTCTCAGCCACTTACAGCCCACACATTGACGAGCCGCCTGCACAGAAACGGGTCAAGGTTCCAGTGGATGCAGGGCAGGAAGGTGATGTAAAAGACCTCATGCCCCAGAGTGGCCGATGTCAAAAACAGGAAGTAAAAGAGCCAGTTCCTCGCCTCATAATGAGGCCCGGGATGCTCCTGAACACAGAGAAATGCATCTAGCTGAATAAACTGCTTCACCACATCAACAAACCACAAATCACACGTAGTTGTCCACTATATATACCCGTTTAAATACTTTTCAACATTTTGGAGGATTGTAGCACCATGAAATACTCACATTTTTATTTGTGCACCATCATATATGGAACAAAAAATTCACTTTTACATATTTCACCCTGATTATGAAAATATATTAAAGTTTAATGACATTTGTAACTAATTGAATCCACACTAAAAATGTATATTTAAAAATATATATTATTATTATTAAAGACAGTATGTTATTAGGTTAGTGACCTGCCTTTCAGTTTAAAGCTTATTATATATATGAACAACATAAATTAATTTTGAAAACAGTTTTAATGTACCTAGATGAGACATCCAAAATTGCTTTACACTTCTGACAGTCTAAACCAACCAGAAAAACAGGAAAATCTTGTAGTTTGCCATTTCTGTTTTTAAAAGCACAGCCTTCGCATTAGGGAACCTCTCGATTTCAATTCACCTGAATGAAGAGTTTCATTTAAATCTGATTTACTTACTTCGCCTTTGGTTTGATACTGTGAACTGGCGGATTTATAGTTGGAGTTACTGTCGTGTGCGCGTGACGTCCCGTTCGCCACCTGCTCCGCTTTGCGCCGGTGGATCGTGACCGGAACGTCCTTACCGGATCCATTCGAGTGTACGAGTCCGTTTCGACTAACATACGAGCACGTCTCTCTCGGAACCAGGCCGCAGCACCGCTGGAAGCTGGCCACCAGCTCGGGGCTGTTCAGGTAGGAGATGAACCCCCACATTTTGAGCTTCCGCGCCCAGCTCAGCCCTCGTTCACAGGTGTGTTTTACAGCGTGAAAGAGTGCTGACGTAGAAGCTTATGGCTGTTTTGATTGGCTGACATGTTTACGCACGGAAAATGACCTGCTTATTGTACCTGTCACAGGTGGGTCATTCCTGCTATGCAGTACCTTTGACTCTGTGACTTAAAAAAAACAAAGAATATTCTAGTGTTATTATAGCCATTTAATGACGCATATTTCTATATCTGAAAGTAATTTTCAGAAATATGCTCTGATAAAGCTCAGGCTTTGAGTACTGTATTTATAGCAGAAAATGAAGAATTAGTGATTGACAGTAATGAAGGTGTCAACATTTCGATTTCATATTTTATATGATAATAACACGTTTTATGTAATATTATCTAATGAGATGTAGAGTTTAAGAGTGAGACAAATTAACCAAATCACAAAACAGAAATAGCCAAATCCCTGGCTAAAACTCTAAAAGTTTAATCTGGATCA